AAAAAGAGGAGGATTGATGGCAGATGTTAGCTCAGGGTTAATCTTCCTCAAAAAAAAAGAAAAAGAAAAAGAAAAGAAACCCAAGAAATATTTGTGAGATGGATGCTTTCTACAGTTTGTTTTATTAGAAACTAAGGCTCAGAGAGCTGTGGGTCACAGATCACCATCCACCTTAGTTATATATTTGAGAAAGAAGCCCTAAGTCTAGTCACTCTGAACCTAGCACTTTTCCGCATCTTCATGGAACAATTTCACTAAGTGGTATATATTATGTTTCTCTCAAGATTTTAAATATGTGAATAATTACTTTGCTCTTTATCAGATTTCTGATGTGAATCTAGCCAAAATTTTATGACTGATACATATTTCTAAGCCAGGATCTAATTAGTATCATGTAAACTATAATACAACTCAACTTAAACTAGAATATTTTTAAAACCAAAATACATATCTTCCCAAAGAGGTATCTGTCAGTAAAACCGATATGTATATTTAGTTAAACCCATTCTTTATACCAGATGTTTATTTATTTCAAAGTCAATATATTTTAAGTCAACTTCCAAAATGCTTCTCTTAACCACTTTGTTATGTTCTCACCACGTTATATTATTTAAATGATACTCTATTACTGGCTTTGTGGATCTAAGAGGATTCCAGATGAAAATAGAATCTTCTAAGATTAAAGGTATTCTGAATCAACCAGGATCAGAACCTTATAAAAATAGAACTACATGTATGCACACAGACATACACACACAAGAAAACTCATTACCCACACATCCCATTTTATCCCACAATAAAATGGATAAACAAAACAATGACTCCGTTTACCACTAAACAAATAGGAAGAGGCACAAAATAACTCTTTCTACTTCCCAGGAAAGTCATGGATCCTGTGACCTTGTTTTTCTATCCCTCTTTTCAACCACCAGATGAACCACCAGTTCCTATCATTTGAAGGCTAGAAAGGCGAAAAAAATGAAAGATTTTTACAGTTTCTTATTTTTTTTATTTCTTAAGACAGTCGGTATACTTTCCTTATTGTGGAGCAATTGAAATAAAACCAAGATAAATAATAATGTCTGCGATTTGCTAAGCATCTATTATATACCAGACACTATCTTAGGTTCTTTACATCTTAACATTTACCTTAGGCTCTTTACCTTTCATTTTGACCTCCCTACAATTTCACAAGGTAAATAGTAGCTCCTATTTTTATGGATGATCAAATTTGAGTACCTGAAGTTAAGTAAATATTGGCAGTGGATAGTTAATGAACTTGGACCACCTGTCTGACTTCAAAGACCACATTCCCTCTCTACTTTGTAATCCTGACCATGAGCTATGCACTTCTATTTGAGGGATGCAAGACATCAGGGTTAGCTTGGTAGCATGCCATGATTTGGGGTCCAGGATATTTTTATAACCTCATAAGATAGTTAAACAACACAAGCACAAGTGCCAAAAGAATCCCCACTTCCTGTTCCTGTTTTCCCACTATGACAAGTTTCTATCCTCTGCAGTGCCAAAGCATCTACAGGACAAGTAATATCACATTCTCTAGAGTTCAGGACTTCTGCCCCTTAATTTCATACCCACCACTTACTCCTGAGAACCCTCTCCTTTACCTCTCATTTCTGGGATAGATACGTACACATTTTTTGCTACAATTTTTGTATTACCTTTTTAGCTAAAGGTCTCGTCACTTGAATTATAGCACACTCATCAGTCCTGTGGGTCTTTCACAACCAATTCAGGGAGATAATTAGTCCCCTCGGAAGCTGGTTTGAGTAACTATTTTTCTCAATTCCACCAAGCAGAGTGTATGGCTAATACCATTCTGGGTGCAAGAGAGAATAGATAGTTTATTACATTCAATGGATGTCTTAGGACATTAGGACTTAATTCCCTCTCAGAACCCTATTGAGAAGGCTGAGAGAGTGTATTTAGTCTGTGTCCCCTCTGCATGTTCTCCCAGGGTCTCAGCATTTTCACAACTCTCATGAAAATTTCTTAAGATACCTCTAGGTTTTGTTTCCTTCTCTTTATTTCTGTTCCCTTTCACTTCCTCAATCAGGTACAGCTCCTGTCCTCACATTCTTGGGAGAGTCTCATGACAAGATGAAAGAGAGAGGGAATTTAAGAGTCTGAGAGCTGGAAAGGATTCCATTGTTAGATAATGTGTCTTGGCAAGGGAGAGGGGGATGGGGCCCAGGAGCCATAACTTTTCCTGCTCCTCCCCTGAGAAGGAAGTGACTTCTGGATTCCCAGCTGAAGGAAGGGTAGCTATTAATTCTGAAAAGAGAGGTTGCTAGCTCAGATCCCAGACACTACACCTGTGAGTGAGAAAAACTAAGCAAGAAATGGTAGCTTGCATAGGCACACAAGGCTATTTGCAAAATGTCCTGGGACTCCAAATGTGACCTGGAAGCAGAAGAGAGCCTCAGGCTCTGAAGGGGCCATGTGGGCCAGTAGAATAGACATCCCTTCAACTACAGCTGTGGACCCCCAGACTCCCTCTCCTGCTCTCAGCAAATCTCAAGTCTTAAAGCCATGTAAGATGCCAGAACTCAAACATAACTTTGGGAGACAAGGATGCGAAACTCCAGGAAGAGCCAGGGTTAACTTTCTCACCAAAGGAATAGAATGATGGCTCAAAGTCAAAATTAAAACAAACAAAGTAATGCCTGAATTTTGCACCCAGATCGTACCTATCCTGGTCTTCAAAGCCACCCCAGAATGCTAAAAGGGCAGATCTATTTGTCTTCTTTTCTCACCTATGATTAAATTGTGTCTTAAGACAAGTAGCTTGCTATAGCCAGTAAGGGGCAGGCCTGAGACCTGAGGCTTGCTGGCTCAATTCATAGTCTATCTATATTCTGAAAAATTGCTTCAATCTTGTAAAGTTAAACTGAGCTCACCCGGGAAGATTCAGACAATATGAAAAAAAATGGAGATACTAGTGAAAATCATCTGAAATCCCATCTGATTGGTTGACTATCTTTCCAGACTTATCTCTACGTATTCTTAGTTTACGGTAATATAGATACACATTTATATAGATAAGATGGTGGTTCTCTGAATGTTTTGAAACCTATTTTTTCCCCTCAACAAAGCATTGTGAACATTTTTCCCTATCAATAAATATAGATCTACATTATCATAAATAATGTAATGTAAAGATGCATAAAGGGTGAATGATACCCAGTCTGATAGCCGTACATTTTTAATTCAGTTCAGTAAACACTGAGGGCATATTTTATGCCAGGCTTCATGCTAGGTACTAAGAAAAGAGATGAATAAAACACAGACAGTGCCCTGGGGAAGTTCTCAGTTCAGTAAGGGAGCAGACGGGTAAATATAATTACAGCAGTGTAACTCCTGAACGTAATAGGTATAGAAAATATGGCCTGTTAGATAATCTGCCCCTTTATTTGTACAGTACATCATTTGATGTTTCTTTCTACTTCTCTGGGTCCTGTTACTACATTTTGTATGTGGATTTTGCATCCTCATTCCAACCGAGTCCTGTCTCCTCCCTGACTGCTTCTCATTCAGCTTTTAATTTCTAATAATTCTCGGTCAAATAATTCACTTGCTAAATGTTGATAAAAATGATATGTGAGTCAAATACATAAAATTCAAACAATGGTCATAATGAAGAAACAGTACCATTCATGATAAATGACTAGAACACTTCTATTAGCCACTTCATTTTTGCCAACAGAATGTTAATAATATATTGCAAGATGCATTATCTTTAGAGTGCTATTTGAACATTTGGAAAGTCATTGATTCATGAAATCCTTTTTTATATGATCCAAAATAGTGACACTGATAAAAATTTCTTCCTAGTAAGTAACAGAGGTAGCAAATCTTTGATATTGATCTATAATATTTGCATATTCAGATGTAGTTTAAAGTTTATGTATGCCTGTCAACATTTGCTCAGCATATATAATGTTTTGTTATATTTGAGGACAGAAAGCTTATGTACATATTATGACCTAAGAATACTTACAGAACAGAATTTTATTAAGAACAGTTTAAATTCATACAAATTAAAGACATAATTTATGCGCCAAGAATATAGAAATAACTGTTTAATTTAGATTAGGTTAATTGGGAAAAGATTTCTGGAGGAACTGAATTGCCAGTTGCATTTTGAAGTAATTGATAAGCATAAGCAAAGAGAAAAATATACATGCAGAGGAATGGAATTGAAGATGTGCAATTTACGGCAAGTTGTGGGTAAACTAGTCTTCTGAGAAGTCCCCATCCATTCTCTTATTCAAAGGACATGCACTGAACACAGTTTATACCAACAGTGTCAGGCACTGAGGATACAAGGTCGTGTAATACAGCGTTCCTGTCTTCAAGCTTACAGTTTCATGAAGGAGATTGTCAGGTAAAAATATATTAGAACACAGTAAGATTAAAAAAATATTAATTTCTAGAGCTGTAGGATACAGGTAGGAAACAGAGAAATGAAATTAGGAAAATGGGATGTGGAGCGCATACTCAGGATCAGATGGTAATCATGGATACTATCTCTCTCCTCCCTTTCTTCGCCAAGCTTCGCTAAGACAGGTCTGCATTTGTTGCCTCAGCACCACTCACGCTTTAACTCCTTGCAATCTGGCTCCCATGCCTACAGCTCTATTATTCCACAGAACCAGAAGTCCTCAATGATTCCTTGGTTACCCAATGCCTGGGTCTTTAGTCAGCTGCCATTCTCTGAAGTGACCCCTTCTTTAACCTCTCCCTTCCCTTCCAGAACACTTTCTCTCCATGTTTTCCAGTCATCTTTGAGACTTCCAGCGTCTGTTCTGACTCTGTTTCCTTTTTCCATCTCCTAAATTTAGGCATTCCTCAAGTTCTGCACTTGTTCATCTTCCCTTCTCACTTTACATGTGTCTTCTCTCTTCTAGCAACGTCATCTAGTTGTATGAGCTCCATTCTGTATTGATGATTCCAAATTCTGTTTTTAGAATTGTACCTTTCCCTCAGATTCTCCAGTATCCAGCTTTTGCTGAGGAAGTTCCACCTTGATATACTGCCTAGGTAACTTGTATTAATGATGTTTTTATTTTCTGTATTTTATGATGCTTTTGACATCTGGGGCCTTGCTGGCTGAGGAGAGACTGCACTTTCCCCTCCCCACCCCCACGCCCCTCCCCCTCCCAGGATCAACTAATTCCTAGAAATAGCAAACAACTTGCCTTCCAGCATACCTTTGATATGCAAAACAATCAACTGCATGTCACTATTCCAACCTGCCTCCCATCAGGCTCTTGTAGCCTAGGACATTATCCCCTGCCCTAAATCACCCCAGCCTGGACAACTAGAGACCACAGCTGCAGCCCAGAGCCCACAGAAAGGATTCAAATTATCCGATCCTAAGCCTGATCAGCAGCTTACCCTCTATCTCCCATTCCTTCCACTGAAAACCACTATAAAGGCTTTGCTCGTGCTTTTCCCTCACTCCTTCTGCCTTCTGACCAACCCTGGTGCTTTCCCAAGTAGCCCTACAAGACAGGCCATGCCTCCTGTTTCTAGAAATCTATGAATATAAAAACTTCTTCCTTTGTGACTATCATCTTCATGGCTGTGTGTCTTGTGTCTTACCATACCTGATTAAAACAAATCCAGGGTACATTATAAAACACAATTGAACCTATCTCTTTGAAAATAAACTTCTCCTCCTCCTATATTCCTCATTTTTGTGTTATACCATGATCCTTGAAGTCAATAAGACCCAAACCTTCAGAGCCACTTTTGACATCTCCTTCTCTTGCCACAGAAATTTTGTCACTTACACAACTTGAGTGATTATCTCTACACAATTGCACAAAAGGATCTACCTCATTTCCATTGTGACAGCCCTGGCGTGATCCTCTATTGTCTCTCTCTGAGATTATTATGATAACTCCCAACCAAGCTTCCGATCTTCTGCTTCTCCCAAGTTCAATCCATGCTACAAAATGGGATCAGATTCGTTTTCCTAAAGTCATCTCCAATTATATAGCCTTCCTGTTCAGAACCCTTCAGTGGCTCCTCATGCATTGCCTACTGCATAAAAATCATATCCTCAGGCTAATTCAAAAGATAAACTGTAGTCAAAGAGATAGAAGGAGAACCAATAAAAAATCAATGTCTTAAGAGCTAATGGGAAAAAGAATTAATTGAATGACTATTATTAATATCCATTGCCATGCTCCATTTTATTAAAATATTGCATTAAAATGAAACACAAATAATCGTATGTACCAGTAATCACATATCTCCCATTGTATATTGGACATAAGGGTAAAAACACTGTGGGACTACCTAGTCCTTTGTTAAGGAATATCAGAAGGTGACGAGCATTAGGGGTAGGAGGTCAAAGCAACTCCTGCCTCACGTGGTTGTGAAGCCCTCAGACTAATTTTCAGTTTTTGCCTGTGTTCACTGATTCCATATTTCTGGGAAAACTACCATTCTTCTTCAGTAGAGACCTTTTTATCCCCAAAAGTCTAGTGATAATCTTGCATTCAAACTGGAACACTGTAGACCTACTCCGAAATTTTTAGTATAACCTCAAAACAGAGGAGCTTCTCTTCACATGTAAAATGAATAATGGCCCATGATACAGTTTTCAAAAGAAGTGTAGATTGACAACAGATTCTAGTCTAACAATTTGTATGTGTTGGCATGGCAATAAAACTTTATATAGTAATATGGAATTGCTTAAGTCCGTTAAAGCAGGAAGCATGCATATACTTATATAGTATATGTTGTTAAAAAATCACTAGAATCAAGCAAGACATTTGTTTTCTTTTTTCCTTGGAATTCACTTTTTTCTCCTATCCAAATATAGGGTATTATTCGTTATAAATAATTTATAGTAAAACTTTGCCTTTTATAACAGCATAAGAAATACACGATAAACTATGTAGACGCTGTGATACATACAGAGCACATTCCAGACTGAAGAAAACACGTCCCACCACCTCTCCCATCCCAACCTCAAAGACTTGTGCTTTGCTGTAACTAACGACTGTTGTGCAGTGCTGTGGCATTACATTATCAAGCAAAAGAGTCACACCATGAGATAACAAGGTAGAAACCTATGGTGTGTAATTGTTCGGATGGCTGGTGATGTCCTGACGTGTGTGATACTCCATGTCTTTTCAAAGACTCCTGCCTGCCCCCTCAGCATTTTGTGATCACTCCTTGGAGTGTGCTAAGGAATTTCACAGTCAAAACAATTGTTTGAGCTTATGGTTACTACCACAGAAAACACAGACTAAAAATGCAGAGTAAACTTAAGTGAAAAGATTTAAAGAAGCAGGCAATTGAGTGCATTTTTTAAAAACAAATGATATTCTTACGATTTCATATTATAAGAGCCAAACTGATTTGAGTAAAAAAAAAAAAGGAAACTTTCCTCATAATTATCGTATGCATTATTCCTGATTTTATTTATTAAATAGGGCATTTCTCTCATCTCCATAAGCTGTCTTGTCCTACTTTAGAAAGCCAGACTTATATTGATTCATATTAAGGAAGGAAGGAAGGATCAAGAAAAGGAAGGATAGAAGGAAAGAAAGAAAGAAGGAAGAGGCGGTGCCAGCCCATATCCCAGTGGTTAAGTTCGCACTCTCCACTTCAGCGGTCCAGGGTTTCATGGGTTCAGATCCTGGGCGAGGACATGGCACCACTCCTTGGCACTGCTCCTCAGGCCACCCTGAGGTAGGATCCTACATGCCACAACTAGAAGGACGCACAACTAAAACATACAACTATGTACTGGAGTGATTTGGGGAGAGAAAGCAGAAAAAAAAAAAAAAAAGAAGGAAGAAAGAAAAGAAAAAAAATATTATCCCGAAGGAATAAAATCAGCTTTTTCTCTCTTCATAGAATTTAATTAACATCAATCCACTTAACTGTACTGAGCACCCAGTATTGTGAAAAATCATATTCAGTAAGGGTAAGTGAAATAAAAACTGAAATCATCATCTCTCCCTTCAGAATTTAGCATCCAAATGGGAGACCTATAGAAAAGTGAAAGAAACTCTACTATATGGTGTCATCATCACTAAGGTAAAAGAACAGAGGGTCCCATGGAGTACAGAAAAGGGCATCTAAGGATTTCTGGGCGAGGGGCTTCCTGAGCTCAGTGTCCGAGGACGTGAGGAGTTAACCCGGTGAGAAGAGGAGAAGGTGAGGTTTCAGGCAGAGAAGGAGCAAGCACAAACCCTGGAATTGTGTGTGAGGGAGCTCGATCTTGGAGGCACATGGGATGGGTGATAACTCTTTAAGGAAGGTTTGGGTCTCAGCCCCAAAGTACTATTTCTCAAAGGGCATGAGAATTTCCTGGGACATATTTTTCGATGCATACCCCATGGCCACCAAACATGCTTTTGGAATCAGATCTGCAGTGGTTACGAGTCCTTCTGGGGGAGCTTTTAAAAAAAATGCTCTTCCTCGGCTCAATGGGTCTGAGGTGGGATCTGGGCCCGGTATCTCCCCAGATGATTCTCACGTTCAGCCAGGGTCAAGAATCAACATTGGGGCAGCTGTATTTTAACAAGCTCCCAGGTGACTCTGATGCTCATTACCATTCTAGAATTGCCGCCCTGAGGCTCAGTGGAGAACAAGTTAAACAATATTCACCAAAGCATTGTCCTCAAAGTGGTCCCTGGACCAGCAGCATCAGCATGACCTGGGTATCTGGTAAAAATGCCAATTCCTGGGCCCCACCCTAGACTTACTGGATCAGAAACTCCAGGGTGGGCCCAGCAACTTGTGCTATAACAAGCCCTCCATGTGCGTCTGATATCCTTAAGTCAGAGAACCATTCACTAAAAATATTCTTGTACTGTGTGTGTGTGTTGGGTGTCAGGCGACAGGAGGGAAGGTGACGTACACACTTATCTCCCTGAGTTGCTCCTTAAGATAAAACGCTTCTTTTAATTTTTCTTTCTGAGGATGAGGCGCGTTTCTACATGAATTGCAAGGCAGGAAAAATAAAATATATGACAGATAATGCTTTTAACTTGCCTTTTTCAAGTATTTGACTCCCTTCTTAGGGCCATGCTCTCTTCCTAAGGCAGCTACAGCTTGATTATTACTCAGCAAGTGCTAGGAGACAATGAATTAAAGTATAAACTCTCAATGAAACCCTAGGCATGTGTTTTCCATATACTTACTGTTTTAAAATGCATTTGACTTGGCACATCACATTTTGTTTCCCCAAGTTTTCATTTCATTTATTCATTCATTCATTCATTTTGCAGGGAAAGATTTGCCCTGAGCTAACATATATTGTCAATCTTCCTCTTTTTTGTTTTTTCTCCCTAAAGCCCCAGTGCATGGTGGTACATATGCAGCTGTAAGTCCTTCTGGTTCTCCTATGTGAGCCACCGCCACATCATGGTAACTGACAGAGGGGTGGTGTGGTTCCCTGACCAGGAAAAAAACCCAGACCGCTGAAGTGGTGAGAGCTCTGAATTTTAAGCCCTAGGCCATCAGGGCTGGCTCCCAAGTTCTCACTTTAAAAAGCAGGAAAGGAGTGTCTGATATTTTTGAGATAAACATCAACTATAGCCACACAGTTTATTAATGTTTTAGGTATCCTCAAAGTTCTCCATTTTTCTGTCAGTTTTTAGAAACCTATATTCATAGCAAAGGATAGAAATGGTTGATTAAGTTTCAGTGAAAAGTATCTCTGAGTTTTGATATTATCAGATATCTCTGGCTTTAGGTTTTCTTTTTTTTTGCAGTTCTAGAGATGTGGGTTCAGGTCCAGGCACTGGAGATTCTGGCTCTGGGAACTTGATCAAGGTATTTAATGTTTCTGAACCTCCATTGCCTTTAGATGTAAAATACAAATAATAATTCCTCCTCTAGGTGGTCATTGTTAGTAGCAAATTAGACGAAGTGTAGGTCACCTCAGAGACGGTCAGTTACATTAGTTCTCTTCCCCTTTCTCTTAACAGCCACCCTGTAACTGAGCTGCCGTGGGAAGAGTTCTCTAGGTTGGGTCTGGATGTTCTGGGTCTTTCTCTTCTCTTTCCAGTGGTAAGCCCAATGTAACAAAAAGCATTACAGTGGATGAGTTATCTCATGCGGGCATGGGCAAGCAACTCTCTTTACAATAGGGAAGAAATATTTATAAAAGGAAGCAAAATCTCATGAGTTAATCGTAAACATTAATTCAGCCCAGAAGCCAGTGAACTTTGGACATGACTTTGAACCCATCCCTTATCTCCTCATTCGGGCAGCGTCAAAAATATTTATACAACATATTTCAAGGCTTAGCACAGATACCATCCCCTCAGTATACAGAAAACTGAAAGAAAATCATCTAGAATGGTTCAGCTAGCTCTGACCCAAATGTGTATTCAGACCCTGGCCGTGTCATAAATACACATTTAGAAATTGTAGCACATTTTTTTTCATTGATAAGACTTCCCAAAATAATGGTAATACAGGGCCACAATCTGACAACAATGGGCCTATGTGTTTTAGAATGCAAAAGTTTCTAATTTTATAGAGGTAATGCTGCCCATTTACTTTATATTAAGTTATATCCCAGTAGGTCTGAGGCAGCACCCATAGCCAAACATACTAATATTTCTGCAACGTAATACATAAATATTCACGTAAGTAGGATAAATAAAGACCACAAAAACCTCATATTCAGTTCATGTTTTGCCACAAAACAAGTTCAGATCAAGTCAAGTTTTACAACCAAATGAGAAGGAGAAAGCTTACAGTTTTCAGAACTTTTTGACTTTCAGAATTTGAATAAACTATTGAGGACCCATAGGATATCTTCCTTTAGGGAATTTTCAAGTCTATTAGGTAACTATACCCAAAAATCCACACATTTCATGGGCAAGATCCAAAATAGCATTTCAAACTACTTACTCAAGTCATAAAAGGACATAAATTATTTCAAATTCTGCTATCACACTTTAGACTTATGTTAGTAATACAAGGAGTTTATATGAGTAATGACTTTTAGTTTATTGTGATGGTTTTAAGTTATTGATGGAAAAATTTGTCAAGTGAGAATAAAATTTAGTTTGCCAACTTACTTAATACATAAATGCTTTCCAGAGTTGATGGAAAGGAAATTATTTGTTTGTAAATTAAAGAAAATAAGACTTTAGAAAACAATCACTGAAGTTTTAGCTCTTGAGAACTGTTGAGAATGTTGAGAAGTAATCATTGAGCACAATTCTTGCAGCGCATTCGCTTCCCTGTGTTAGATGGCTTTAAAAGCAGTGAGAGCTCTTTGGGACCGGCCAGGGCCCTAGAGTACTGTAACATCTTGCTGAGAAGTAGAGCAGTCAAATGGGCTGATGCAAAGGTTTCGTGGGACCAAGACAAAAAGAAACAGTGTGCTAGGATTTTCTGGGTATGATTATGCAAAATACCCTTGGCTGGTTATATTTTGGACTATCCCAATTATACCTATGTTCAGAATATCTTCGAATGCAATATTGTGTAGAGGTCTCCTAGGCATTTATTCACTCCATCAATCCTTATTTATTGAAGTGCTTATTATGTGCCAGAAAGAATACGAGGCCCTTGAGATACAATAGTGAATAAGAAGACTTTGTTCTGTTTACAGCACAGCAGAGAGATATAAACAGGCTTGGAGAAAAAGAATTTAGGTTAGATAGATAAAAAAACACAGAGGTTTTTGATCTCACAATCACATTTTCTTAACTTGCTCTGTCTGCTTTGACATCGTTTAGGATTCCTAACTTTGGAAGGGATGAAAACAGATGCAGCTAATAAAAATAACTACCATTTCTTGAGCATTTTGTACCAAGTCCTTTGCTTAAGATCAGCTACGTCATTATCTCAGTCTATCCTCACAACAACTCAGGCGAATTCTATTTTGTGAGTAAGGAAACCAAAGACTAGAGAGAACAAAGAAGCCTTTCCAGCCCACACAACTAATAGATCCACGATCCCTTAATTATTATTCCCAAATACAAAAAAAGCTCTGAAAACCAAACATGTTTTTCATAATCACTTAGCATCAAATCCTGCCTTGACCTATATAGTCTTTACATTTCCCACTTAGGAAGAAAATTCCTACATTCATATGTTTCTTTACAGAAATAGCGATGTACTTGATTAAGGAGTACTGCCTTAGAGCCTGCCGGGAATTATGTAATACAAAATATATGCACGGTATTACCTTTCTAAAATCAGAATAATTCTAATTTATGAAACACATCCAAGAATCGTAGATAAGAGATGTGGACTTCTAGCTTATTTATCTCTAGGCTATTCTTACCAAACGAGTCTTCACAAACTTCTTTTAACAAGTTCGTGATACTTGGGCAGGGAGGCCACGTAATTTATCACATAAATGAAGGCATTATTAATAATTACTCAGGGACAATGGGCATAAATTAGGACTATTCTAGGCAAACCAGGATGGTCCACCCTATCTGAGAGAGGGTCAATGTCCAGTAATTGTGACAAAGTCATTGTATCTGGACTGCATTTGCCTCTTCAAGGAAGGTGAGGACCTCTGCTATAAGCCGTAAGTTTTTTAGGAAGCTCTTGGCTTTTAGAAAGCTCCCTCTGGCCCAGTGTGGGTGACCCACAAGTACGAAAGTAAGCACTGCTATGAGGAGGTTATTTAACAAGCTACATTAGGCAGAACATGATAAAGACTCAAAATAATACAGTATTAGTGTGAACAGAGGTACAGCCTAGACTCAAGGAATCAATAGAAGTTCAGTTAGAGGACCAATTGAACATCGGAGATAAAGGAGAAGCCAGAGTCTGTGAAAATTCCCACTTTATGACTTGGAAGCTTGGAAAATGACTTGTTGAAATAGGGAACACAAGAAGTAGTAGCATCTTTGGGGAAAAGAGCCTGAGATTGTCAAGTTTAGGGTGTCTGTGGGATGCTTCAAACTCTACTAGCAGGAAACTTTACATGCAATTAGGTAATAAATTCTTAAGGGAAGAGTGCTTCTATTACCTCCTGCTCTTACCCCCAAGGGCCTAGCACAATGTTTTAAACATGGTAGATGCAAAATAGAGATTTTTTGTCTGTTATTTGTAAGCATTCTTGAGGTTTTGACCTCTGATCCCCAGACTGATTAGCCTAGTCAAGGATTATCATATACCTTATATAACTCAAGTTTTTGAGCTATTTTACAACTCTAAGTTGTAGAAAATTAATAGAAATGCACATGACTCTGGTCCATAGAAATGCAAATATTTGTGTCTAGTAAAAATGCAATTGATCATTCCTCTATCAATATAGATCAGTTTTACATCTATTTGTAAATTCATTTCAGCATTCCTGATTACCTAAATATGTATGTTTCTTGAACTCACTTTTGAACTATTTTCAACACCTTTCTGCTTCCCTAATAAGTAACGAGTTAAACAAAACCTTTGAGATATGTTCATTTGATATTTGTATGAGATTATTGAGTTTACCTTTATTTAAAAATTATCTTTTGACAAATAACTACTATAACAAAAGTATGATTTAAAAAAAACTTTGTGTTAAATATTTTACATACGCTCTATTTTTTAATTCTGATAAATACCCTCTGTAATATTTTCTATTATCCTCATGATCATTTTACAGATAAGGAAATTGAAGCTTTACAAAGACAAGCAGCTAACCCAGACTCACCCATCCCACCTGACTCCACAAAGTTCTGAGCCACTATGATATGCTGTCTGAGATATTGATCAATGTTGACTGCAAAATTAACAGAGGTCTCAATAATTAAACTATAAATTTATATACATATCTCCCTGATTTTCATAAACGATCTCTGTGACAGAAGGCCTGTGAATATATTCATGTTCTTCTGAAAGAAAACAATTTTATGGTTACAAAATTTGACCTACTACTTAACTATGGCAAAGAATTTGAATTCCTAGCATACAATACCCTTCCTGAATTGACTCTTGCTTGTTTTGGCAATGACATCTGGGGCTGTCTTCCGCAAACCCCTGTGCCCTGGACATACTAAAAACTCAAGTCTCCTCACATTTCCACTCATGCGTTTTTTTTTTTTTTGCCTGAATACTTTCCCCAATTTGCCTCTTTGTACTTCAAGACTAAAATTAAGCAACACTTCCTCATAATGCATTCCCTGACATTCTCATTTCACTTGTATTCCAGGAGCATCCTGAGCTTGCTTGCTGTAGTGTTTATGACACTTGGGATTGTCTGTGTACATGTCTATTTTTCCCACTTTTGGGGGAAAGTCTTAATTTTCTGTATAGTCCTAGAACCTAAGGCAGTGTCTGCTATAGGAGGTACTCAAAAAATATATGTTTAATTAAATTATAAGTTAATTATATGAAATAATATGAAGATTTCTTTTTTATTCCTCTAAAGCTGCCGTTATGTTCTTAAGAACAACTACCATTTCATTGATCTTCTTTCTAAAGAGAAATGGGAGGCTTAGCAGACACTAGTTGTAATACAACACAAAAGTTCACACTATTTCAATAGTGTTTGCCTTCTTTAGTGTAAATATTAGTGAACCTGGCAGGGAGGCTTTGCCCTATGTGTGATTCAGGTTTCAGCTTTGTTGAAGGACTTCCGCTGCATTGAGCTGTGCTGATAATATCTGTCTCCAGTTTCCTGACAAAGAGTAGCAGAATATGCCACCCCCAAATATGCCACTTTGGCATAAGGATTGTTTTGAGCTGAAGGCATTTGAGACGAAGCAGATACAAGAGAAGCTCCCCGCCATCCCACTATTTGCCTAAAAGCTGGATATAAATTTTCAAAAGTGTCCCTCCTCCCCTCTCTACCTAGAAGGATAAAAGTTAATCACTTGGAGACAACTTAAGTCCCTATCAGCGTGGAGACAGAACCAGAGGAATCTATATAACAAGCGTTACTAAATACCCTTTATCTCTGCCCTTAGAAGCCTAAAACTGCTTTTCTTTGTCTTGTCATTTCTCCACAAATTTCCTGTTCTTTGTTGAATACGCCTTATAAAGCAGAGTTCTAAGCCACCTCTTTGAGTTACTCATGTTTCCCTGAGTATCTCCCATGTATACATCAAGCATACATGTTAATAAATTTTTCTTCCTGTTAATCTGTCTTCTATTACAGGGGTCTCAGCCAAGAACTCAAAAGGGTGGGTGGAAATTATTTTTTCTCCCCTACGCTGAAAACAGGAAGTAACTTTTGTTGATGTTGGTAAGTCGGCTTCTACCTTACGCAAGATACAAATGGATGCTCAGTTAATGCTACTTCATTATGCCTCTCAGAAGTAATGAGGCCATATTCAAACCAGTAATGACATCAAAACTGCTATACCCAACAATTAGTAAGTTAGTTTTTATTATCACATCATTTTGTATTATTCCACTATAAGAATATAGTAAAGTTCAAATGGTCTAGTCAGCTTTACCAAATATACTAGATCTGCATAATCTGTAATAATTAATTGTCTGATCAACATCATATAATTATGGTATTTTGGAGAGGGCTTCTTAGCCTCACTTGCCCTAATATGAAGATATAAAGCTGTTAATAAAAAGGAAATGAACATCAAAAAGCATTCCAGTCTACAAAAGAAGACTGACTTGCTTCACTGCTCTCTGCTTTTTTGAATAATTCTCCTCTATCAAATGCTTAGTCTTTCATTTTAATGATTGTGATCTATTTATTATTTTTGGTGATAACATCACAGGAACACTTAAGCCGTGCTCGAGCTTCAGAGTTTGGGCAGACATTTGACTGCTTAGAAGGATTGTGTGTGTGTCTCTAAAAAGGCCAAAATCAAAGTGAAAACCAAAAAGGGAACTGGTTAAAAGTAACGTGAATCAATTCATTGGGCAAATGGGAGCATGTGGTGAAAAGGATGCTTTATCCATACATCTGGTTCGTTAATATACCCACGTGAAGGTAGTCTGGAACAACTTCTCTATAATTATTCCACTTAGAGTAAAATGTCCTCCATTCATCCAATGGGTGTGGGGTGTTGCCAGTGTGGAATGATTGCCTAAAATAGGGAATAGGGACACAAAAGCATGGCTTTTAAAATTTTATCTGTTTCATCTTTAAGGCCCATAGGTTTCAATTTCAGAATCAGCAAACATTACTTGAATGCCTATTATGGACCACACACTAGGCAAGGAAGACCCCAACACATGACAATATGTGAACAGGTACCACTCACAATGCTCTTACTGTATGATTGTATATTCCTTTCAAATGCCGTAAGTTTCTAAAAATAAGGGAAAAGTGATTTTGAGGATATTAGTATAAGCTCTGGCTCTTTGAAGTTATTAATATATGCTTGCATTTTAACACATTTTTCCTATAAACTCATCTTGCTTCCAACTGTAGCAATAGCTACAAGAACATATGGACACATGGTTTTAAATCGTTGCTGTACTAGAGGCTTTGGCACTGTCCCAGGGGACCAGGATATTTGGTGCAGAGCCTTGTTTGTAAATAATTCTTTATGAAGAGAAGGATGAGAATTGGTTCTTTGACGGACTCTATCCTTTCATACAAACCCAGGCTGCATGTTTGTATGGAGAACATAATAGAACTCCTCCACTGAGAGGCTCTGCCATCACGAAAAACAAGTTTCCAGCTCTTAAGTTCATGTCTCTTAACATATTGAAACAAACCAAAGTAGGAAACAAACTGGATCAACTATTACCCAGTGGGCACATGCTGTGCAAGGAAAGGGTCACAGTTAGCTATTCTTATGCTTGGGACCCAGAGACCAGCTGAGTGATGACAGAGCACAGCCATCAGTGTCCACATTTAGTCTTTAAAAGTTGTCATCAGAGACTCTAGGACCCTTGAGGTAAATGTCTTCTTTGAATATGTTTATATCAGTTCATTTTCAATATAATTTTCAGGCCTATGAACAGGAAAAATTTCCTTCCACGTTTCTCCAAGGGAGGTTTAAGAGGACTGTTAAACTTTGAGCAAACCATAGAACTTCTCCAAGTCTCAGGTTCCTGCACCTGTAGAATGGGTGAACGAATACTCCCACGCATGGGAAGTCTGTTGGTACGCTTAAGATTCATCCATAATGCAGGCAAAATTACTTACAGCAAAACAGATCAGACACAAGTCCTGTCCATTAACAAGGTCTGGTAATTGGCGGTGGGCACATAATTGGAATCTGGACCAAAATGGAAGTCCAATCCTCAGACCATGGACCTGGGAGCCCTATTTGGAAACCGGCAGTTGTACTATGAGGAAAGTTGTGATGAGCAAAGCAGCAAGGGTATGGTTTCAGCACTAAGTCTTTGCTTCCTTCTCAAACAAATTGGGAGAAGAGGCCGGATAAGAGTCAATAAAAATATCCGAGTTACCTTGGGCACGTCACTTAACTCTCAGTGCTATTTCGTCATCTATAAAACTGGGACATCAATGGCACCTATCTCCCAGTATTGATGGTAGAGAGTTTCATTATCTAAGTGATAGCTTATCATTAAGAAGTCACACATGAAAGTAGCCTTGATTCAAGTATCTAACAACTGGAACATTAACATTATTTCTGTAGTTTAAGGCCTTGTTCCCCTGGATAAAAATGCAAATATGAAACTTTGGAAAAAAACGCATTTCACTTATTAGTAGCTATCTTCAGGTTGGTGGAGTCTCAGCCCTAACAAAATGAAGGCCAGAGAGTTAAAAGAAAACGCGTTTGGGTTGGGGGCTATAAGAAGTTCAGAATGAGGGTGGAACAAGAGAAAGCTTATCTGATTAGTGAGTCCTTCCCAGACCTTGGAAAGAGTAAAAGAGCCACTATTTGCAGGAAAGAATACCCACCTGGAGAGAAAAAGAATTATCATCATAGCCTCACTCAGTGTCCCAGGTTTGCACAGTACCCGCCTTGAGCCCAGAATCTATGATCAATGCAGATAGACTTAATGAAAATGTCAGTGGGTCTAAATTGAAATGTCATTTTCCTCCCTCACTCATTTTCTCTATCCCTCTTCTCTTCCTTTCTTCTTTTCTTCCTTCCTTCCTTTCTTCCTTCCCTCTTGCCTTCTTGCCTGCCTTCCTTCCTTTCTTCCCTATATATTCATTGGAGTTCAGAGGAAGCATATGGTTGCTTCAGGCAACTGTCTGAGTCATATCAGTTTTTCAAGAGCGAATGCGTTGAGGGCTGGTATAGAGGCATGCACAATGGCATGTTGGTGAATATCTAAAATTTTATAAACTAAAATGAAATGAAAGGCTCTGTGAAGCCATCCACTAAATATTGAAAATAAGCATTAAACTGTCTCAATGAAAGTAAAGGGAACTGATATGCATTTGTAGCAGTAGATCATATGGGCAAAAACAGCACACCGTGAATTTAGAGTTCATTTCAAAAATTGTGTAGACTTCACTGCATCAATGCTTGTAGTGAGCTTATCTCCTTTTTACAGATGTGGAACCTAAAAGAATTTGATAACCTTTATTTCTAGGCTCTATATTAAGAAAGGGATATTTCTTTTACCATAAGCAAGGTATAAAAAAGAATATTCAAAAGCTATTTGCATACACACACACATATATATGTATATACATATGTATGCATACGTATGAGTATGTATGTGTATTGTGAATATACCCCAATCCCTGTTCTGAGTTTGTCTTAGGAGAGCTAGCTGCCCCGTAGGCTAAGTCATGCCACCCAAATTTGGCTCTATTGCCATTGTCTTGATGAATATTCATTTTTTTAAGTAGAAGGTAATTTGCATATACTACTGACAAGGGGGAACCAACTGGTGAGTGACATTGTCCAAAGGGACAAATGAGTCTCCCTAGCAGC